ATAATGCTTATTTGCTTTCTTCTGTCTTCTTAACACGTTTTACACAAAGATCCCTTGGATTAATATCACGAAAAAGTCAGTCAGATACTGAACTCACGCTTGGGCCTAGTGAGCTAGGGTTGAATATCGTCTGAGACCTCCACACTTCTCGGCAGTTATCTCTTACATAATCTTGAATCTAAATGAGTTGGTTTGTTCTGGATAACACATACGTGTTAGCATGTTGAGTTATTTTGTCTGTTTTCATATGCGCATAATTTATACCACAATGAGGACGATCAAGCGTAAAACAAGGCGTGATTATTAGCTCAACCCGGCCTAGTCTGAATTCAACCACTACACTGCAAAGCGCACTTACTTTCGGCTTTGCTCTACACTCCACAAGTCAAAAACGGAGATTTTTCTTCAGGTGAGCTCTTTTTAGCTTCGACTTGATTTCTATTTCGAGAAACGTGTTCCTGATCGTAGTCCAGTTTGAGTACGATCAGACATAATAACAAACCAACGATTTGCCTTTCCTTCGCCTCTCCTCGTCTCTTTCCACTCTGTGAACTGTTTTAGTGCGTCAGTCACTGCTAGAAATCTCAGTGCAGTCGTATATACAGACGTTATCAAATATTTATATCCATTATCACATGTTTTCCTCCAAGTCTCCCATTCTATCTGACCGCCAGAATTGGGGCGTGTTACGTAAGTCAAAGTAAAACTTTACTCTGTTAACCAGACGTAGAACAAGTTTTCGTCGGCGTCACTATTCATAAAGTTAGCCAGTAAATAAGATTGTGATTTTACAGATTTTTACTATTTTAGCTGGGGAAAACAGCCCTTGCATAGAAGCCTATTAAATAGAAGATTGATTTAAACCAAGAATTAGGCAATGGAACTGCATGATTGGTAACAACATAAGGATTTGTAATCGGGAAAACTGTTTTACTATTACATTTAAACCTTAAGATTAGAGCATTTGGATAATAACACTTCGCTTGCTTTAGACGTTTGTATCTCGGTTCCCGTCCATTTTCTGGGCTCATCGCTATCTACAATACAATATTAACTTTTTTTTTTCAACGGTGTAAGGCCCCTAAAATGGCTATAATTTGGCCGTGGGTCCTTGGAAATCTTTGTAGCTTTAACCTATTGCTAGGTTTTCTATTATTTTAATTTAAAATTCGTTTATATTTTTAGGCTGACTAGTAGTCACTAATCCTTTGATTTGACTGTTATGTAACACATAAACTACGGACGTTGCTATTTTGAACTTCGTCAGCTATATTTAATTCTCGTTATATTTGCACTGGTTAGTATAAAGATTTATTGTACAGATTTACCATCTCCGTTCCTACACAATAACAGGCTGTGATCGCAAGTGGTACAAATCCCAAACGTATGCACTTATACGCATGGTCTCCATTTTTACCTGGCGTGACAGGAGCTATTTTCAAATACACTTTGTTATGTTAATTGAAATCCAATCTACATTCAATATTCGAATGATAGCTGTGATCGAACTGTTTACATTCTTTACGTTTGTTAAAACAAAGCAATAGAGTATCGGATTAATAGAACACCTTTTAACTAAGCGGAACGCTTCATTCGTTTTGACTGAAATGAGCTTAACAAACGCACACATTCCTTATTAGGTTCTCGCTCTCTTCATTTGATAACACTTGTTGAACTTTAAGTGACCCTCGTGAAATATCAAATTGAGTAGCACAATTCGTGATTTGTATGACATTTTCAGTAAATATTGAATCAATGAGAGAAAAACGGAGATGCCCATTATGGAATTTTGCCCAAAAAAAAAAACGCGAACTTGTGTTGAGATCTGGTTCCCAAACTCTTGCAAAAAAATGTATGGAACACCCGCTGACCAGATTGGCTTGTCGACAAACTCTGCAAAAATTTAATGTGTGTGACATTGTTATTTGTCAACCTATTTTGGCATTTGTTTAAAAATGTCACGCTAACATTAGGTCTATTAGGGACTGCTGAGTAGGGTAAACAGGGAGGTTTGCTATTCAGTGCATGTATACTTGCTAGATACTGTCCCAAAAGATAGACAAACAACTGATGGACAACAAAACGAAACAATTCTCCATATAGAGTATCACTGGCACCATTATGGGCAATTAACATGCGCAGTGAACTTGATAGTACGTGATTTAAAGTTCGTTCGTCATTTGATCCCAATTCGCATTCATTCAGATAATTGAAACAAGGCTGCGCATTTCGAGTGGAAATTGGTTACGAAATTGCAAGTTTAGGCAACAGTCTAACACCATGAAATAGCATTATTTTACCTGACAAGAAAACGCTTTTGGAGGAATCTGTGGACAACTGGCTAAATGGTAACTGATAGCATGTTTTTCATTCCTTGTTGTCTAAGAAGCAAAGGAAATCATGGCGTAGAAGACCTCTGAACGAAGGCTGTCAAAACTATCTCTGTCATTCTAGTCTTCTATAAGGTCTCATGGTCCGTATAAACCCAAAAGTATCGATATGTTGGATATCACTTTAATTGAAAACAGTCGAGTTTGTACGTGAGATTTAGTTTGAACACATTTAGAATAAGGAAGTTCTCTGGCACGGCAGCGAGATGCGTGCCACTTCCTTCGGAGCAGGCGACCACTTCCTCGAACAACTACATACTGCATGCCACATTTTCACATGTCATTATACAGATGTCTCTTACTGTTGGATCAGAATAATTTTGAGTCGACATTAACTCAAATTGTGAGAGCATGTTTCTATGGCAACCCATTTATTATGCTAATTGTTTTATTTGTTGTTTATGGCTTCCTGGTCACATTAACAAGAATTCTGATTTAATGGCTCCTCGTGTGCCCTTGACTATTGCCTAACATATAACGGATTGGGCCTCATGAACAGCATTAGCGAGCTAGCAACTAGCTTTATTAACATTTTCCTCATAGAAATGGAACTGACCACTGATGAGTTCTTGGAGCGCATTGGCGGCTTTGGTCGCTACCAAATCCTGCTTACCGTATTTTCCAATGTGGCTTATATGCTGTGGTGGGGCATGCCTACGATGGTCATGTTATTCATTGCAGCAGAGCCTGGCTGGAAATGTAAAAATAACGCCACATGTCCCTTTACGGAGATCAAAAGACTAGGAGATGATAACTACTCCTTCAGATGTGACATTCCCAGAGAAGATTGGGAATTTGGAAATGATTTCACGTCAGTCGTCACCGAGGTAAAGTACAGACGCGAAAATGAATTATATTTTGAATATATCTAAGTATCTACTACCCCTCAGAATCACTCCACCCTAAGCAAGGGTAGCAGCAGCAGCAGCAGCAGTAGTAGTAGTAGTAGTAGTAGTAGTAGTAGTAGTAGAGACTTTATTTAACGAGAGTGACACTAATAGCATATAAAACCTAACAAACACAGCTAAACACGTGGCCCTCCGAAATTACAATAATAAGATCCACTAAATATTTACAAATCTACAATAAAAAATTTACGAGTAAAAGTTGCAGTTAAAATAAGAATAATAAAAACTAGATTGTAAAGTTTTTAGCGAAAAAAGCCATTTTAACACTGTTGTTTACTAACAATAGATTTCCACAGGCTGGCTCGAAAGAGAAGGCAGGAATACTAAAAGTCACCAAAATAAAATTGGTTTAAATTGCCGTTGATTGAAAAACGAAATCGTTGAAAATTTTGAAAGGTTTTTGTAAAACCGAGTGGAAGATCCGTGATGGCGGATTTTGAAATAATGACGTCATGAAAACGTATCTTCGTTCCGGTACGTATCCATTTCATCAAGGTCATGAATTCTGAAAGTAGTACCGGGCAGTATAGATCGCCATGATACGCGGTGGAGGATTCTTGTAAACAAACGTTGGAACAAATGTAGCAAGTGAATATAGCATGATGCAGAATCCCTTCTGTAGAAGACAGACAAGCTCCAATCAGGAACATTCGGTCACACTAGTATTTTCTTCCCGTTCTCTATTTTTCCTGTCGTTTTCTATTTCTATTCGTTTTATGAAATCTTGTAAGCCCTGCAAAGTGAGAAGGAAGAGCAAGCTGTTCCAAAAACAGCTCGTTGAAAATGTTAAAGACAAGACTTCCGAGGAAATCTCTGAATGATAGCAGTTAAGTCGGACGACTGGACATCAGAGGTTGAGAACACATGAATTCCACTCTAACTACTCGGCCACTTACAATAATTATTTACTGACATGTACAATTTATCCGCAACGTTAGCCTGCGAGCAGGTTCTCTTGGGGCACGAGCAAAGATTAAGCCGCGAGAGACGAGCCTGCAAGCAAAGCGAGCTGGCGAAAATTTCATTTCTCGTACCAAGTCGCTTTACTCGTGCCGCAACGCATGATTGCCTGCTCGCAGGCTAGCGCAATATTTACCATTACCATTACTGTTACTACAGTAACGTTTTAATGAATTACATCTTTCACAGTTCGACCTTGTCTGCGAGCGTGGCTCATTTGGATTCATCTCAACCTCTGTTATTTTCCTCGGATTTTTTATTGGTAGCATCTGCGTGAGTACCATATCTGACAAGTTTGGCAGGAAGCATCCGCTGTTCGTCTGCGGGTTCATTTGTGCCATTTTTAACTTTGCTTCGGTCTTCGCTCCAGCGTTTTGGGTGTTCGCCGTTTTCCGTTGTATCATCGGATTCATGCAAGGTAAGTCTTGTGTTTAGAATTGATAAAGCGGTTTCAGTGATATTGAATGAAGTACGAAACGTAATGTAATGAACCGACGTAATGCTTCGAGCTTAAGACACGGTCTGAGCCAAGCGCTGCAACAAAAGCGAGGTAAAAGTTGTCGCGCACAGGATCGCAGCGACACTTAACACCTTAAGGTGGCTCACCAGGTTCCAGGCAATTTTCGACACGTCTTCTTTGATGGATTAATGTTTCCTCTCGATCGCTTTTATCTGATGCTACAGTAATGATGTCAAACAAATTCCCATGGCAAAGGTATAAGCGGTTAAAATCAGTATCAATTTTAGATTTATGGGCTTACTTCTCAAACGCAAGTCTGGTGACTGCAAACTTTTGTTATCAGATTGTCACCAGCCTGTTAAAATGCAACTTTTCGCAAATTTTGGAAAAACTGCGGGAGCAGATTCAGAGCCACCTTATGTTTTCGCAAATTAAAGTCGCTTGAATAAGAAGCTTCTACAACTTTCTAAAACTTGAAAGAAAGTTACATAAAATTTTAACTTGCTTGTCACAATTCGAAAACAAATGTGGGGGTCACCGGACTCATTTTCGAGTTAAAACTAAAATTAAGGATATTTTTTATCAGCTTATTCCGTTGCTATGGTAACCTGCAATGTCAAGAAAATGACTACAATTTGTTCAACAGTGATTCGGATTTTGGTTGATGTCATAACGGTAGTGCAACTGAAAAGGGTAGTAGAATGAATATATCAAAGTAGACCTGCAGAAACGTGATGGAAATTCTGTTCTCAGCCACCTTAATTGTCTGCACTCACTTGAGGAAGAGGAATTTTTCTGGAATAATTTAGTCAACAGCCTTGCTTGAATCTTTGTTTTTGTTGGATTGTCATTATGTCTCTTAAAAGCGCCATTTATGAAATGGATGACAAAAAGGACTTAAAAGCAGCTCGCTCTAACGGTGACCCATACCTATAAAGGACAGAAAAATTCGGAGACAGAAACTTTGGAGACGGCCTTACGTATTTTAGTGACCTAAATCTTGACGTGACGCAACATCATCGACGCGTATGATTTTGAAAATTTGATTGAAATTCCGGTTTATATTACATGCGGATCTGACAACGCTAAATAACTGCTAAAGATGATTATATTTAGTGCTATGGGTTAGCTTTTCCAGCCACGCTAATTATTTTGGCTCGTTAGTGCTCTTAAAAAGTGTAATTTTGGGGTCGAGTTTTGCTCTTTTCGGGGCAAAATACGTAAGGCCGTCTCCACAAGAAAATAAAAATCCAAACAGCCTCACAGTTGAAATAAGCTAGTAAAAATCTTCTTGCCGACAAAGTTTGCGATAATAGAATTTTTCTATCCTGCATAGGTATAGGTGACCGCTACAGCAAGCTGCTCTTAAACTGTGATCCATAGCAATAGAAAGAAAATTGTACATTATTCACAGGAAAGTTGCCAACATTTAAGTTTTTCTTGGATAATGTAACAGTATTGAGACTGGCAAATGTATGGACTTAAACTGTTCCGTTCGTGACCTCTCACCAAACCTTGCAAATCGTCCTTGGTCTTCGTCCGTCCGTCGCTCCCGTGGTCGTAAAAGAAATTGAATTNATAATGCTTATTTGCTTTCTTCTGTCTTCTTAACACGTTTTACACAAAGATCCCTTGGATTAATATCACGAAAAAGTCAGTCAGATACTGAACTCACGCTTGGGCCTAGTGAGCTAGGGTTGAATATCGTCTGAGACCTCCACACTTCTCGGCAGTTATCTCTTACATAATCTTGAATCTAAATGAGTTGGTTTGTTCTGGATAACACATACGTGTTAGCATGTTGAGTTATTTTGTCTGTTTTCATATGCGCATAATTTATACCACAATGAGGACGATCAAGCGTAAAACAAGGCGTGATTATTAGCTCAACCCGGCCTAGTCTGAATTCAACCACTACACTGCAAAGCGCACTTACTTTCGGCTTTGCTCTACACTCCACAAGTCAAAAACGGAGATTTTTCTTCAGGTGAGCTCTTTTTAGCTTCGACTTGATTTCTATTTCGAGAAACGTGTTCCTGATCGTAGTCCAGTTTGAGTACGATCAGACATAATAACAAACCAACGATTTGCCTTTCCTTCGCCTCTCCTCGTCTCTTTCCACTCTGTGAACTGTTTTAGTGCGTCAGTCACTGCTAGAAATCTCAGTGCAGTCGTATATACAGACGTTATCAAATATTTATATCCATTATCACATGTTTTCCTCCAAGTCTCCCATTCTATCTGACCGCCAGAATTGGGGCGTGTTACGTAAGTCAAAGTAAAACTTTACTCTGTTAACCAGACGTAGAACAAGTTTTCGTCGGCGTCACTATTCATAAAGTTAGCCAGTAAATAAGATTGTGATTTTACAGATTTTTACTATTTTAGCTGGGGAAAACAGCCCTTGCATAGAAGCCTATTAAATAGAAGATTGATTTAAACCAAGAATTAGGCAATGGGACTGCATGATTCGTAACAACATAAGGATTTGTAATCGGGAAAACTGTTTTACTATTACATTTAAACCTTAAGATAAGAGCATTTGGATAATAACACTTTGCTTGCTTTAGACGTTTGTATCTCGGTTCCCGTCCATTTTCTGGGCTCATCGCTATGTACAATACAATATTAACTTTTTTTTTTCAACGGTGTAAGGCCCCTAAAATGGCTATAATTTGGCCGGGGGTCCTTGGAAACCTTTGTAGCTTTAACCTATTGCTAGGTTTTCTATTATTTTAATTTAAAATTCGTTTATATTTTTAGGTTGACTAGTAGTCACTAATCCTTTGATTTGACTGTTATGTAACACATAAACTACGGACGTTGCTATTTTGAACTTCGTCAGTTATATTTAATTCTCGTTATATTTGCACTGGTTAGTATAAAGATTTATTGTACAGATTTACCATCTCCGTTCCTACACAATAACAGACTGTGATCGCAAGTGGTACAAATCCCAAACGTATGCACTTATACGCATGGTCTCCATTTTTACCTGGCGTGACAGGAGCTATTTTCAAATACACTTTGTTATGTTAATTGAAATCCAATCTACATTCAATATTCGAATGATAGCTGTGATCGAACTGTTTACATTCTTTACGTNTTATATTTGCACTGGTTAGTATAAAGATTTATTGTACAGATTTACCATCTCCGTTCCTACACAATAACAGACTGTGATCGCAAGTGGTACAAATCCCAAACGTATGCACTTATACGCATGGTCTCCATTTTTACCTGGCGTGACAGGAGCTATTTTCAAATACACTTTGTTATGTTAATTGAAATCCAATCTACATTCAATATTCGAATGATAGCTGTGATCGAACTGTTTACATTCTTTACGTTTGTTAAAACAAAGCAATAGAGTATCGGATTAATAGAACACCTTTTAACTAAGCGGAACGCTTCATTCGTTTTGACTGAAATGAGCTTAACAAACGCACACATTCCTTATTAGGTTCTCGCTCTCTTCATTTGATAACACTTGTTGAACTTTAAGTGACCCTCGTGAAATATCAAATTGAGTAGCACAATTCGTGATTTGTATGACATTTTCAGTAAATATTGAATCAATGAGAGAAAAACGGAGATGCCCATTATGGAATTTTGCCCAAAAAAAAAAACGCGAACTTGTGTTGAGATCTGGTTCCCAAACTCTTGCAAAAAAATGTATGGAACACCCGCTGACCAGATTGGCTTGTCGACAAACTCTACAAAAATTTAATGCGTGTGACATTGTTATTTGTCAACCTATTTTGGCATTTGTTTAAAAATGTCACGCTAACATTAGGTCCATTAGGGACTGCTGAGTAGGGTAAACAGGGAGGTTTGCTATTCAGTGCATGTATACTTGCTAGATACTGTCCCAAAAGATAGACAAACAACTGATGGACAACAAAACGAAACAATTCTCCATATAGAGTATCACTGGCACCATTATGGGCAATTAACATGCGCAGTGAACTTGATAGTACGTGATTTAAAGTTCGTTCGTCATTTGATCCCAATTCGCATTCATTCAGATAATTGAAACAAGGCTGCGCATTTCGAGTGGAAATTGGTTACGAAATTGCAAGTTTAGGCAACAGTCTAACACCATGAAATAGCATTATTTTACCTGACAAGAAAACGCTTTTGGAGGAATCTGTGGACAACTGGCTAAATGGTAACTGATAGCATGTTTTTCATTCCTTGTTGTCTAAGAAGCAAAGGAAATCATGGCGTAGAAGACCTCTGAACGAAGGCTGTCAAAACTATCTCTGTCATTCTAGTCTTCTATAAGGTCTCATGGTCCGTATAAACCCAAAAGTATCGATATGTTGGATATCACTTTAATTGAAAACAGTCGAGTTTGTACGTGAGATTTAGTTTGAACACATTTAGAATAAGGAAGTTCTCTGGCACGGCAGCGAGATGCGTGCCACTTCCTTCGGAGCAGGCGACCACTTCCTCGAACAACTACATACTGCATGCCACATTTTCACATGTCATTATACAGATGTCTCTTACTGTTGGATCAGAATAATTTTGAGTCGACATTAACTCAAATTGTGAGAGCATGTTTCTATGGCAACCCATTTATTATGCTAATTGTTTTATTTGTTGTTTATGGCTTCCTGGTCACATTAACAAGAATTCTGATTTAATGGCTCCTCGTGTGCCCTTGACTATTGCCTAACATATAACGGATTGGGCCTCATGAACAGCATTAGCGAGCTAGCAACTAGCTTTATTAACATTTTCCTCATAGAAATGGAACTGACCACTGATGAGTTCTTGGAGCGCATTGGCGGCTTTGGTCGCTACCAAATCCTGCTTACCGTATTTTCCAATGTGGCTTATATGCTGTGGTGGGGCATGCCTACGATGGTCATGTTATTCATTGCAGCAGAGCCTGGCTGGAAATGTAAAAATAACGCCACATGTCCCTTTACGGAGATCAAAAGACTAGGAGATGATAACTACTCCTTCAGATGTGACATTCCCAGAGAAGATTGGGAATTTGGAAATGATTTCACGTCAGTCGTCACCGAGGTAAAGTACAGACGCGAAAATGAATTATATTTTGAATATATCTAAGTATCTACTACCCCTCAGAATCACTCCACCCTAAGCAAGGGTAGCAGCAGCAGCAGCAGCAGTAGTAGTAGTAGTAGTAGTAGTAGTAGTAGTAGTAGAGACTTTATTTAACGAGAGTGACACTAATAGCATATAAAACCTAACAAACACAGCTAAACACGTGGCCCTCCGAAATTACAATAATAAGATCCACTAAATATTTACAAATCTACAATAAAAAATTTACGAGTAAAAGTTGCAGTTAAAATAAGAATAATAAAAACTAGATTGTAAAGTTTTTAGCGAAAAAAGCCATTTTAACACTGTTGTTTACTAACAATAGATTTCCACAGGCTGGCTCGAAAGAGAAGGCAGGAATACTAAAAGTCACCAAAATAAAATTGGTTTAAATTGCCGTTGATTGAAAAACGAAATCGTTGAAAATTTTGAAAGGTTTTTGTAAAACCGAGTGGAAGATCCGTGATGGCGGATTTTGAAATAATGACGTCATGAAAACGTATCTTCGTTCCGGTACGTATCCATTTCATCAAGGTCATGAATTCTGAAAGTAGTACCGGGCAGTATAGATCGCCATGATACGCGGTGGAGGATTCTTGTAAACAAACGTTGGAACAAATGTAGCAAGTGAATATAGCATGATGCAGAATCCCTTCTGTAGAAGACAGACAAGCTCCAATCAGGAACATTCGGTCACACTAGTATTTTCTTCCCGTTCTCTATTTTTCCTGTCGTTTTCTATTTCTATTCGTTTTATGAAATCTTGTAAGCCCTGCAAAGTGAGAAGGAAGAGCAAGCTGTTCCAAAAACAGCTCGTTGAAAATGTTAAAGACAAGACTTCCGAGGAAATCTCTGAATGATAGCAGTTAAGTCGGACGACTGGACATCAGAGGTTGAGAACACATGAATTCCACTCTAACTACTCGGCCACTTACAATAATTATTTACTGACATGTACAATTTATCCGCAACGTTAGCCTGCGAGCAGGTTCTCTTGGGGCACGAGCAAAGATTAAGCCGCGAGAGACGAGCCTGCAAGCAAAGCGAGCTGGCGAAAATTTCATTTCTCGTACCAAGTCGCTTTACTCGTGCCGCAACGCATGATTGCCTGCTCGCAGGCTAGCGCAATATTTACCATTACCATTACTGTTACTACAGTAACGTTTTAATGAATTACATCTTTCACAGTTCGACCTTGTCTGCGAGCGTGGCTCATTTGGATTCATCTCAACCTCTGTTATTTTCCTCGGATTTTTTATTGGTAGCATCTGCGTGAGTACCATATCTGACAAGTTTGGCAGGAAGCATCCGCTGTTCGTCTGCGGGTTCATTTGTGCCATTTTTAACTTTGCTTCGGTCTTCGCTCCAGCGTTTTGGGTGTTCGCCGTTTTCCGTTGTATCATCGGATTCATGCAAGGTAAGTCTTGTGTTTAGAATTGATAAAGCGGTTTCAGTGATATTGAATGAAGTACGAAACGTAATGTAATGAACCGACGTAATGCTTCGAGCTTAAGACACGGTCTGAGCCAAGCGCTGCAACAAAAGCGAGGTAAAAGTTGTCGCGCACAGGATCGCAGCGACACTTAACACCTTAAGGTGGCTCACCAGGTTCCAGGCAATTTTCGACACGTCTTCTTTGATGGATTAATGTTTCCTCTCGATCGCTTTTATCTGATGCTACAGTAATGATGTCAAACAAATTCCCATGGCAAAGGTATAAGCGGTTAAAATCAGTATCAATTTTAGATTTATGGGCTTACTTCTCAAACGCAAGTCTGGTGACTGCAAACTTTTGTTATCAGATTGTCACCAGCCTGTTAAAATGCAACTTTTCGCAAATTTTGGAAAAACTGCGGGAGCAGATTCAGAGCCACCTTATGTTTTCGCAAATTAAAGTCGCTTGAATAAGAAGCTTCTACAACTTTCTAAAACTTGAAAGAAAGTTACATAAAATTTTAACTTGCTTGTCACAATTCGAAAACAAATGTGGGGGTCACCGGACTCATTTTCGAGTTAAAACTAAAATTAAGGATATTTTTTATCAGCTTATTCCGTTGCTATGGTAACCTGCAATGTCAAGAAAATGACTACAATTTGTTCAACAGTGATTCGGATTTTGGTTGATGTCATAACGGTAGTGCAACTGAAAAGGGTAGTAGAATGAATATATCAAAGTAGACCTGCAGAAACGTGATGGAAATTCTGTTCTCAGCCACCTTAATTGTCTGCACTCACTTGAGGAAGAGGAATTTTTCTGGAATAATTTAGTCAACAGCCTTGCTTGAATCTTTGTTTTTGTTGGATTGTCATTATGTCTCTTAAAAGCGCCATTTATGAAATGGATGACAAAAAGGACTTAAAAGCAGCTCGCTCTAACGGTGACCCATACCTATAAAGGACAGAAAAATTCGGAGACAGAAACTTTGGAGACGGCCTTACGTATTTTAGTGACCTAAATCTTGACGTGACGCAACATCATCGACGCGTATGATTTTGAAAATTTGATTGAAATTCCGGTTTATATTACATGCGGATCTGACAACGCTAAATAACTGCTAAAGATGATTATATTTAGTGCTATGGGTTAGCTTTTCCAGCCACGCTAATTATTTTGGCTCGTTAGTGCTCTTAAAAAGTGTAATTTTGGGGTCGAGTTTTGCTCTTTTCGGGGCAAAATACGTAAGGCCGTCTCCACAAGAAAATAAAAATCCAAACAGCCTCACAGTTGAAATAAGCTAGTAAAAATCTTCTTGCCGACAAAGTTTGCGATAATAGAATTTTTCTATCCTGCATAGGTATAGGTGACCGCTACAGCAAGCTGCTCTTAAACTGTGATCCATAGCAATAGAAAGAAAATTGTACATTATTCACAGGAAAGTTGCCAACATTTAAGTTTTTCTTGGATAATGTAACAGTATTGAGACTGGCAAATGTATGGACTTAAACTGTTCCGTTCGTGACCTCTCACCAAACCTTGCAAATCGTCCTTGGTCTTCGTCCGTCCGTCGCTCCCGTGGTCGTAAAAGAAATTGAATTGGTTTAAATTCTTTCTATGAAAACTAAAGAAAACTGCATCAAATCTTTTATCGACGCGCTTTCAGTTACTCACTTTCCATTCTGTTCAACCTGTAGGTGCTTTCACCATTCCGGTTTTCGTTTTGGCAACTGAATTATCTGGAGTTCGCCACAGAAGCACCGGGGGAGCCCTAATTTGGCTGGGTTTTTCGGCGGCCGTCATGAGCTTAGCAGGACTTGCCTACCTTATCAGAGATTGGAAACAGTTAACGATGGTCTCTGGAGCTCCGGGAATTTTGTTTGTGGCTTGTTGGTTGTGAGTAACTAGAAGTTTCCCTTTACTGTTTAGCATTGCAAACATCTTTGTAGACGTATAAGTTGAAAAAGTAATGAAGCGTTACAGCTGAAGCCTAAAAAGACTGATCCAAAGGGTAGAAACGCTGAGTTAGCAGGAACCTAAGTAGATTTAGAGAGCTCCGATTTATGTCGTAAGCGACTAGCATTGTGACTTTAAATAGATAGGATGCCTTGATAGCCGGCGGCAGGAGAGGATGATCGTGAAGGGTAGGAGAGTCGTTTCCCATATGACTGTTTAGCCAACCGGAACCGACTGACAGACAGATGGACAGACAGGCTGACGGACTGACGAACTGACGGACTGAAGGACTGACGGAATGGCGGACTGACGGACTGAAGGACTGAAGGACTGACGGACTGATGGAATGACGGAATGAAGGACTGACGGACTGACGAACGGACGGACGGACGGACGGAAGGACTCACTCACTAACGCAATGACTAACGGACGGACCGAGAGCCGAGTAAAGGAACGAGCGGGTAGTCGGACAGATGAACTGACCGACCGACGGAGGGTGGAAGGACGGACAGACAGATGATTGATTGATTGATTGATTGATCGTCTTTCGGGGGTTAGACTGAAGGCACTCAGAATTTTCTCTAAGATCCGACGTGCGTTTATCCACAAGAACGAGAACTCAAAACACGCTGAGAGGCGAGAAGTGGCTGGTCACTGGCCCGTGTTCTCCTTGTTTCGCCCCACGACAGACTGACTGACTGACGGACGAACGGACGAACGGACGAACGAACGGACGAACGAACGGATGAATTGACTGACTGACTGACTGACCAACTGGCTTACTACCTAACTAACTTAATTTTTAAAAAAATAAAAAAAAGTGCTTATTCTAAAAGGCGCATATTCTCCTCGTCATTACCCGTTCATTTATAACTTATTTTCTCACAGCTTTACCCCGGAGTCGATCCGCTGGTACCTAAAGAAAGGACGAGTGTCCGATGCCATGAACGTGCTGCGCAAGGTCGCCAAGGTTAATGGCAAAAAGATGCCCGACGCTACACTAAAATTACCCAATGATGAGAAGAAAGAAAGACTTGGTGATTTTCGTGACTTGTTTTCGTCAGTTAAAATGGCTCATAAGACGCTTCTTTCCTGGCTTATGTGGTAAGAGTCAATACAAATTTCTTAACTCTGCTCTATGCACTAACTTCAAAAACAAAAGAGGTTATAGCCCCTGTGACAATGAACCTTTTCCAAGTCGGAATGATTTGAAATGTTCTGGTATATCAAGATTGTGGCCCTTGCTTACCTGTCTACTTCTTATTACTTAAATACATCTTTGGGATTTGCAGAATGAACCACGCTATTCTAAAGATCAATGGATTCAAAGTTAAATTTTAATCAAATACGGAACGGAATATTATATTAGGCGAAACTATAACAAAATGAGATCTTTGATGGTGAAATGGGCCAAATTTAAACTTAGCTTATTTCACTTATCTGCCTCGTGTGCAATGTAATCAATTATCAAGTTTGGATTGTAACGAATTCATATCAATGCAGCTAAGTGGCGTTAGTAATGTAGGAAAATGCAAAGTTAGTGATATCGTACTGTCTTTACATTCTCGTCCCCAGAGCCCACGATCCTTCTGGCCTGCGGCAGGGATCGAGAGCTCTGGGCTGGCCCAACACCGAAAGTCCGCGATTCACGGACTTCCCGTCAAATCTGGCAAATCTGATTGGCTGAGAATACGAAACGATTACTCTGCGCACGCTCAGAAAATTGGGTCCAGCCAGAGCTCTCGATCCCTGCCGCAGGCCAGAAGAATGACGAGAATGACTGTCTTTAGTAATATATTGTCATGTGCTGTAAGTATTTCAGCACTGGTGTGTAAAGTAATACAAGGCTTATGATATTTAGAACTCGTAATTACTTTGTAATTTCCGAAGCTACAACCTTGGTCACAAGGGTTGGAAAACGTCATTCTGTAAGCATTTTTGCCCCTCCCCACCCCTGTGCATTGTTGACAAAATACTTTCATTTAACACAAGTCTGTATTTTACCATTTTTCAACATTGACAGGGGGAGTATGGGGTGCTGACACTTATTCTGTGGGTGTTACGGTTATAATTTCATGTTTTTTCACATTTTCCAACACAATTTGTCCATGGTTGTAGTTAATATCACGTCGACATGCAGTCTTGCTACTGAGAACTGAAAATGACAAACATCATCAAAAAGACCGCCAACTTGGATCCGCCAACTGTTGATCTCAAACATTTTTCAAGAAAAATATTAACCAAAAATTCTTTAGGGTGCCAAAAGAGTAGGGATTTTGGAAATTTGAGGAAAAGTCAAAAAGCTTGGCTGATGTCGATTGAAAACGTTATAGTTAAAACGATGAATCAGATGTAAATAAGACCTGAATACCGTAATAAATACATGTATCATAAAGTGATATCACTTGACGGTGTCCGCGTTAATATTAGACTTAAGGTGTCTTTTTCTTTGTTATTATTATTATCACACAGGTTCACTGCCTCTTTAATCTCCTGGGGTACATCGTTCCACGCACCATTCCTTGGTGGGAACATCTACGTCAATGTCGTGATTTCTTCCCTGACAGTGGTGCCCGCATATCCCATTATGGCAGGCTTGACACTGAAGTAAGAAGCAAATTCACCTGCTCTCTGTCTTATTTTAATTCATGTGGTGTCACCCCGTTGCGTCTCAATCCTTCTTAGGGAAAGAAAGTAGCCGAAAAGAAAGACTTGGGAGCTTGGGGAGCGGTACGAAAGGGAAAAAGGGAAGCCATCTGCCTTTCTTCTTCTTTCTATCCGTCTTCCACCGCTCGTTTTATACCTCCCTACAGCCTTACCGATGAAACCTCTACGAAGAGGAGAGGTGGAGAAATATTGTTAATGGAATGTCGCGAGTATGAAAGCGGTACTCCTTTAAGGCGGAGCCTTCTCGTTTAGACCATCATAGGAGTACTTCCCATTCCCTTGGGAGAAGAGGGGTTTTTTCGGAGGGTAAGACTTAGCANCGAAATCGTTGAAAATTTTGAAAGGTTTTTGTAAAACCGAGTGGAAGATCCGTGATGGCGGATTTTGAAATAATGACGTCATGAAAACGTATCTTCGTTCCGGTACGTATCCATTTCATCAAGGTCATGAATTCTGAAAGTAGTACCGGGCAGTATAGATCGCCATGATACGCGGTGGAGGATTCTTGTAAACAAACGTTGGAACAAATGTAGCAAGTGAATATAGCATGATGCAGAATCCCTTCTGTAGAAGACAGACAAGCTCCAATCAGGAACATTCGGTCACACTAGTATTTTCTTCCCGTTCTCTATTTTTCCTGTCGTTTTCTATTTCTATTCGTTTTATGAAATCTTGTAAGCCCTGCAAAGTGAGAAGGAAGAGCAAGCTGTTCCAAAAACAGCTCGTTGAAAATGTTAAAGACAAGACTTCCGAGGAAATCTCTGAATGATAGCAGTTAAGTCGGACGACTGGACATCAGAGGTTGAGAACACATGAATTCCACTCTAACTACTCGGCCACTTACAATAATTATTTACTGACATGTACAATTTATCCGCAACGTTAGCCTGCGAGCAGGTTCTCTTGGGGCACGAGCAAAGATTAAGCCGCGAGAGACGAGCCTGCAAGCAAAGCGAGCTGGCGAAAATTTCATTTCTCGTACCAAGTCGCTTTACTCGTGCCGCAACGCATGATTGCCTGCTCGCAGGCTAGCGCAATATTTACCATTACCATTACTGTTACTACAGTAACGTTTTAATGAATTACATCTTTCACAGTTCGACCTTGTCTGCGAGCGTGGCTCATTTGGATTCATCTCAACCTCTGTTATTTTCCTCGGATTTTTTATTGGTAGCATCTGCGTGAGTACCATATCTGACAAGTTTGGCAGGAAGCATCCGCTGTTCGTCTGCGGGTTCATTTGTGCCATTTTTAACTTTGCTTCGGTCTTCGCTCCAGCGTTTTGGGTGTTCGCCGTTTTCCGTTGTATCATCGGATTCATGCAAGGTAAGTCTTGTGTTTAGAATTGATAAAGCGGTTTCAGTGATATTGAATGAAGTACGAAACGTAATGTAATGAACCGACGTAATGCTTCGAGCTTAAGACACGGTCTGAGCCAAGCGCTGCAACAAAAGCGAGGTAAAAGTTGTCGCGCACAGGATCGCAGCGACACTTAACACCTTAAGGTGGCTCACCAGGTTCCAGGCAATTTTCGACACGTCTTCTTTGATGGATTAATGTTTCCTCTCGATCGCTTTTATCTGATGCTACAGTAATGATGTCAAACAAATTCCCATGGCAAAGGTATAAGCGGTTAAAATCAGTATCAATTTTAGATTTATGGGCTTACTTCTCAAACGCAAGTCTGGTGACTGCAAACTTTTGTTATCAGATTGTCACCAGCCTGTTAAAATGCAACTTTTCGCAAATTTTGGAAAAACTGCGGGAGCAGATTCAGAGCCACCTTATGTTTTCGCAAATTAAAGTCGCTTGAATAAGAAGCTTCTACAACTTTCTAAAACTTGAAAGAAAGTTACATAAAATTTTAACTTGCTTGTCACAATTCGAAAACAAATGTGGGGGTCACCGGACTCATTTTCGAGTTAAAACTAAAATTAAGGATATTTTTTATCAGCTTATTCCGTTGCTATGGTAACCTGCAATGTCAAGAAAATGACTACAATTTGTTCAACAGTGATTCGGATTTTGGTTGATGTCATAACGGTAGTGCAACTGAAAAGGGTAGTAGAATGAATATATCAAAGTAGACCTGCAGAAACGTGATGGAAATTCTGTTCTCAGCCACCTTAATTGTCTGCACTCACTTGAGGAAGAGGAATTTTTCTGGAATAATTTAGTCAACAGCCTTGCTTGAATCTTTGTTTTTGTTGGATTGTCATTATGTCTCTTAAAAGCGCCATTTATGAAATGGATGACAAAAAGGACTTAAAAGCAGCTCGCTCTAACGGTGACCCATACCTATAAAGGACAGAAAAATTCGGAGACAGAAACTTTGGAGACGGCCTTACGTATTTTAGTGACCTAAATCTTGACGTGACGCAACATCATCGACGCGTATGATTTTGAAAATTTGATTGAAATTCCGGTTTATATTACATGCGGATCTGACAACGCTAAATAACTGCTAAAGATGATTATATTTAGTGCTATGGGTTAGCTTTTCCAGCCACGCTAATTATTTTGGCTCGTTAGTGCTCTTAAAAAGTGTAATTTTGGGGTCGAGTTTTGCTCTTTTCGGGGCAAAATACGTAAGGCCGTCTCCACAAGAAAATAAAAATCCAAACAGCCTCACAGTTGAAATAAGCTAGTAAAAATCTTCTTGCCGACAAAGTTTGCGATAATAGAATTTTTCTATCCTGCATAGGTATAGGTGACCGCTACAGCAAGCTGCTCTTAAACTGTGATCCATAGCAATAGAAAGAAAATTGTACATTATTCACAGGAAAGTTGCCAACATTTAAGTTTTTCTTGGATAATGTAACAGTATTGAGACTGGCAAATGTATGGACTTAAACTGTTCCGTTCGTGACCTCTCACCAAACCTTGCAAATCGTCCTTGGTCTTCGTCCGTCCGTCGCTCCCGTGGTCGTAAAAGAAATTGAATTGGTTTAAATTCTTTCTATGAAAACTAAAGAAAACTGCATCAAATCTTTTATCGACGCGCTTTCAGTTACTCACTTTCCATTCTGTTCAACCTGTAGGTGCTTTCACCATTCCGGTTTTCGTTTTGGCAACTGAATTATCTGGAGTTCGCCACAGAAGCACCGGGGGAGCCCTAATTTGGCTGGGTTTTTCGGCGGCCGTCATGAGCTTAGCAGGACTTGCCTACCTTATCAGAGATTGGAAACAGTTAACGATGGTCTCTGGAGCTCCGGGAATTTTGTTTGTGGCTTGTTGGTTGTGAGTAACTAGAAGTTTCCCTTTACTGTTTAGCATTGCAAACATCTTTGTAGACGTATAAGTTGAAAAAGTAATGAAGCGTTACAGCTGAAGCCTAAAAAGACTGATCCAAAGGGTAGAAACGCTGAGTTAGCAGGAACCTAAGTAGATTTAGAGAGCTCCGATTTATGTCGTAAGCGACTAGCATTGTGACTTTAAATAGATAGGATGCCTTGATAGCCGGCGGCAGGAGAGGATGATCGTGAAGGGTAGGAGAGTCGTTTCCCATATGACTGTTTAGCCAACCGGAACCGACTGACAGACAGATGGACAGACAGGCTGACGGACTGACGAACTGACGGACTGAAGGACTGACGGAATGGCGGACTGACGGACTGAAGGACTGAAGGACTGACGGACTGATGGAATGACGGAATGAAGGACTGACGGACTGACGAACGGACGGACGGACGGACGGAAGGACTCACTCACTAACGCAATGACTAACGGACGGACCGAGAGCCGAGTAAAGGAACGAGCGGGTAGTCGGACAGATGAACTGACCGACCGACGGAGGGTGGAAGGACGGACAGACAGAAGATTGATTGATTGATTGATTGATTGATCGTCTTTCGGGGGTTAGACTGAAGGCACTCAGAATTTTCTCTAAGATCCGACGTGCGTTTATCCACAAGAACGAGAACTCAAAACACGCTGAGAGGCGAGAAGTGGCTGGTCACTGGCCCGTGTTCTCCTTGTTTCGCCCCACGACAGACTGACTGACTGACGGACGAACGGACGAACGGACGAACGAACGGACGAACGAACGGATGAATTGACTGACTGACTGACTGACCAACTGGCTTACTACCTAACTAACTTAATTTTTAAAAAAATAAAAAAAAGTGCTTATTCTAAAAGGCGCATATTCTCCTCGTCATTACCCGTTCATTTATAACTTATTTTCTCACAGCTTTACCCCGGAGTCGATCCGCTGGTACCTAAAGAAAGGACGAGTGTCCGATGCCATGAACGTGCTGCGCAAGGTCGCCAAGGTTAATGGCAAAAAGATGCCCGACGCTACACTAAAATTACCCAATGATGAGAAGAAAGAAAGACTTGGTGATTTTCGTGACTTGTTTTCGTCAGTTAAAATGGCTCATAAGACGCTTCTTTCCTGGCTTATGTGGTAAGAGTCAATACAAATTTCTTAACTCTGCTCTATGCACTAACTTCAAAAACAAAAGAGGTTATAGCCCCTGTGACAATGAACCTTTTCCAAGTCGGAATGATTTGAAATGTTCTGGTATATCAAGATTGTGGCCCTTGCTTACCTGTCTACTTCTTATTACTTAAATACATCTTTGGGATTTGCAGAATGAACCACGCTATTCTAAAGATCAATGGATTCAAAGTTAAATTTTAATCAAATACGGAACGGAATATTATATTAGGCGAAACTATAACAAAATGAGATCTTTGATGGTGAAATGGGCCAAATTTAAACTTAGCTTATTTCACTTATCTGCCTCGTGTGCAATGTAATCAATTATCAAGTTTGGATTGTAACGAATTCATATCAATGCAGCTAAGTGGCGTTAGTAATGTAGGAAAATGCAAAGTTAGTGATATCGTACTGTCTTTACATTCTCGTCCCCAGAGCCCACGATCCTTCTGGCCTGCGGCAGGGATCGAGAGCTCTGGGCTGGCCCAACACCGAAAGTCCGCGATTCACGGACTTCCCGTCAAATCTGGCAAATCTGATTGGCTGAGAATACGAAACGATTACTCTGCGCACGCTCAGAAAATTGGGTCCAGCCAGAGCTCTCGATCCCTGCCGCAGGCCAGAAGAATGACGAGAATGACTGTCTTTAGTAATATATTGTCATGTGCTGTAAGTATTTCAGCACTGGTGTGTAAAGTAATACAAGGCTTATGATATTTAGAACTCGTAATTACTTTGTAATTTCCGAAGCTACAACCTTGGTCACAAGGGTTGGAAAACGTCATTCTGTAAGCATTTTTGCCCCTCCCCACCCCTGTGCATTGTTGACAAAATACTTTCATTTAACACAAGTCTGTATTTTACCATTTTTCAACATTGACAGGGGGAGTATGGGGTGCTGACACTTATTCTGTGGGTGTTACGGTTATAATTTCATGTTTTTTCACATTTTCCAACACAATTTGTCCATGGTTGTAGTTAATATCACGTCGACATGCAGTCTTGCTACTGAGAACTGAAAATGACAAACATCATCAAAAAGACCGCCAACTTGGATCCGCCAACTGTTGATCTCAAACATTTTTCAAGAAAAATATTAACCAAAAATTCTTTAGGGTGCCAAAAGAGTAGGGATTTTGGAAATTTGAGGAAAAGTCAAACAGTTTGGCTGATGTCGATTGAAAACGTTATAGTTAAAACGATGAATCAGATGTAAATAAGACCTGAATACCGTAATAAATACATGTATCATAAAGTGATATCACTTGACGGTGTCCGCGTTAATATTAGACTTAAGGTGTCTTTTTCTTTGTTATTATTATTATCACACAGGTTCACTGCCTCTTTAATCTCCTGGGGTACATCGTTCCACGCACCATTCCTTGGTGGGAACATCTACGTCAATGTCGTGATTTCTTCCCTGACAGTGGTGCCCGCATATCCCATTATGGCAGGCTTGACACTGAAGTAAGAAGCAAATTCACCTGCTCTCTGTCTTATTTTAATTCATGTGGTGTCACCCCGTTGCGTCTCAATCCTTCTTAGGGAAAGAAAGTAGCCGAAAAGAAAGACTTGGGAGCTTGGGGAGCGGTACGAAAGGGAAAAAGGGAAGCCATCTGCCTTTCTTCTTCTTTCTATCCGTCTTCCACCGCTCGTTTTATACCTCCCTACAGCCTTACCGATGAAACCTCTACGAAGAGGAGAGGTGGAGAAATATTGTTAATGGAATGTCGCGAGTATGAAAGCGGTACTCCTTTAAGGCGGAGCCTTCTCGTTTAGACCATCATAGGAGTACTTCCCATTCCCTTGGGAGAAGAGGGGTTTTTTCGGAGGGTAAGACTTAGCATTGACTTATTTGACTCGAGTCCTCCCTTCTGAGAAAATAGCATCATCGACTCGTGTCCTCTTACTCTGTCTCTCGCAGCGGTGACAGCCTCTGTCTGGGTGGCATAATCCACCTCCTGTCCCTCTCTCTCCGCAGTTCTCCCCCACGTCTCCACCAGGTTCAAGTTGTTTTCTAACAAAACATCACAGACCTTAAATACTAAACCCGGTCATTGATAACTAAGGTTTTTCGTTCAGATTGTGTTTTTGTTGACCGTTACTATGACAACAAGCTCCTGATTTTGAGTCTTCCGGGCGGAGTTTTAAGTGCCAGGAAATATTTAACAGTAAGAGACTAAGCTAGGGATGCAGGAATAACTGATATTTATATAAAGTACTTTTTAATACGTTGTATTTTTTCTCCATTTTAATAGGATTGGTCGTAGAATGATGATTCTCATCTCGTTTCTCATGGCTGCTGTGGGAGCTATTGGGGCCCTTGCTTTGTCAGATAAGGCTGAGGATGACAAAGGTAAATAATTATTTAGCGGACTGGTTTCATGGTTCGGCGAATGTGGATCTTACATGTATAATTGAGCTTAGAACTAACTGCTGCGTGTGGGGTATCCGTGCACCCGGGTCCCTGGCTCCAATGGCTAGCATCTTCTCAGGAGAAATAGAAACACTCCAAGACGTTTAACTCCACGGAAAACATGAATGTTTCTTCAAGATGGAACACTTTGGGCCGACGCAGCCTTTTTTACTTTTTTACTTTTGTGATACTTCTGAAAAAACTACTGCTCAATGTTCATTTACTGAACGGATTATGCAATACGTTTTAGCAATCTGTTCGGTCAATTTTTCACAAAGGATTAATTTCTGTGAGTATAATTTACTTTTGTCTGTTTATCAGCTTACATGCTTGGAAAAATATTCATGTACATGTTCGTGGCTAATCTGGGAGGAGATATTGCCTTTGCGGTGGTATACATTTACTCTGCAGAACTTTTCCCTACAACAGTAAGGTAATGTATAATAATTTTACTACTTAGGTGATGAGAAAATTACAACAGTATAAACCTCTGACCAGACTCCTTTCAGCCTGTATGTCTCTCGAAAATCAGAAGAGACAACGGGGAGAGGGTTTTTAGACGAGAGAGGGTTGGGGCGAGACAAGGTGAACACGGGAGTGACCAGCCACTTCTCGCCTCTCAGTGTGTTTTGAGTTCGCGTTCTTGTGGATAAACGTACGCCGGATCTTAGACAAAACTCTGAGTGTCTTCAGTCTAACCCGTGAAAGACGATCAATCAATCAATCATCTGTCTGTCCGTCCTTCCACCCTCGGTCGGTCGATCGGTCCGTCTGTCCGACTACCGTCCGTTAGTCAGTGCGTGCGTGAGTGAGTGAGTGANATTTTACACTGAGATTTTAAAAAAATTCAAAACAGTTAAAAATTGTAGGTCACCATACTCGTTTGCAAGAAAATGACGATTTACATGGCGAGGTCCAGCTGTAAAGAAAAAGCCGCCATTTTTTAATGCGCATGCGCTAATCACACGTGAAATTATGCGCAGTAGGGATGTGCAATGCAATACTGGGGAATGGCCTTAAGGGGCTTATTCAAAGTCATAAGAAACTCAGTTGCAAACTTACATAGGCTGCATCTGCATGCGTGATGATTTTGTTGGCGGATGGTGAGCGGAGATGGAACCAAAACCTCCAATATAGTCAACTACAAAGAAAACAAATCAGTTCATCAAATTAATGTCAAACCTGGTGTCAACAATAATGACATTACACCTACATGTACATGTACAAATTACTCTACATGAATCTATGGATTCCTTGCTAAATTGTATTCTTAACTTACAGTTGTACAAGTTTGCAGTTCCTGACAAAGCTAGAAGCCACATTGTACAGTTTTGAATGCATACATATATGCACACCAGGCCAGATAGCCAGATGGCTGTTCAGGCATCCTGTGGATGCAGCTTTCTAAGAAAATTGCCTTATTTTTCATATGTTGTCTTAAAAACTGCTCATTTGAGCAGGCCCTACAGCACATTTTGGATGGCTACTCTTCAAATTCGGGCTAAAAGCCTGATGAGCACACATGTAAGCTACAGTGTACATGTAATCATCAGCATTGAAATAATACAGTTTTACCTACAGTAGGTATTATCCTCATTAGTATTAAATTCTAGATATATAATTTTTCACAATTAATTTTACAAGTAGGTGACTACTTTGAAAATGTACATGTATGTATACACGTATCTTTTACTGTGACAATGTATGTAAATTAACTTCTGGCAAGTTAAAAAAATGAAAAAAAAAAAACATTAAGGACTACAGACCTAAATTTGTATGTACATGTAGTAAGTTACTGTAAGGTTAATGCAAAAACAAATACTTTTCTATTTTCTTTCTTTCTTTTTTGTTTTTTTGCTAAATCATTATAATTATTTTATTATTGTTTTTGTTTTTCCAGTTCTAAGGTTAAAAGTCATTAGCCACTTGAGATGAAATGCTAGCGNCGAAGCAAATAATTCGAAAGAAATTAGCAACCAATTGCCGTTGCTAACCTTTTTAATGGATTTGCATAGAATTTGTTATTTTTGAACAGATCACAAAGAAAAACTTGCGGGTTTATTTAACATACTTAGCAAATGGAAAAGTATTGGGAAGTGGTTTGGAATTGCAAAAAAAAAAAGCTGCTAGTTTCCACAATCGATTCCTTTACTAGCGTTTCAACCTTTCGTGGAATATCTAAGCTTACATGTAAAAGAAAGATCTAACTAGAACAGTCTCTGTAGATACACACTCGGAAATGATGTTGCATCTTTGATTCTCTTTGCGCATTTCGACACGTAAAAACTTTTCCATTTTCACAATATTCAAGAACGTCGGATCCACTTTTACGGAACGTATATTCGGTTTGATACCACCAGAAACACTGGAGTCTTATTTTCAAATATCACGTCGTGAAAGAATCATGCCACAAATTTTGTAAACTACTTTTCTGAAGCTGATCAGTGATGAAGGCAATGCTTAAATTCCGTACGATAAAAAGCCAAGCTAGGTTAATTGCTGTTAAATTCTCACCGTTATAACATAAGGAGATCGGTATTGATGGACTCCAAATATACCCACGATTAGGAAGGCAATATGGATGAAGTTTGCGATGATCGGCGCCCACATGAAGCCGAGGAAATCGAAAACTTGTCTTTCTACAACCACCAGCTACAAAAGAATACAAACAGTAAACATATTATAAGCTGGCAATGGCTGGCAATCAGTGTTTATTATTTTCAAAGAGTCCTCAACTTTAAGATTATATATTTTGATAAACTATTAACTAAAGCGTGTCAACGAATCGAACATGTTCTAGTGCTGTAACCTCATCTCGAAAAGTAGGCAGAACGCAGCGTGAAGCGAATTCCATACAACTGATTATACCCACCATTTGAAGAACTAAAATGAACAAGAGGATGTTCCTTCCTCTACAGCAGCCCATGTTGGATAAAATTTCTCAGAGTATCGTACCAGGGAGACGCTGTTTCTCAAGACATTCCTAAACAACAAGTCATACACAATATATTTTGCCTTCCCGTCAGACTGACGGATGGCCCCCAAATATGGTAAACTCGTTCCGGTCCCCAGGAGGAGCAAATCCAAAATGGCGGACAAGGAACAGTGTGTTCGAGAGTTTTCGTCGTTTTTGAGTCGCACTGCACGCGAAATGGAGGGAGTATTGTGTCAGTTAAAGTGGAGGAAGGAAAACCTGATGAAAAAGGTATGGATAGGCGCCAATTCGGGAAACTTGACCTCAAAATTTGCCAGCATCAAACTAACTGAGTACGTACCTGTACATTTTACTGATCTCAGCGTGGGTTTTATTAAGCTTATGTTTATTTTCTCTCTTATTGAATTGAAGGTCAGAAATTCAATGTTAGTACACTGTCCAATTAACCCGAGTCACAGGATACCAGCATCAAGGCTAGACAAACACTTAAATGTTTGTAGATACACATCCAAGGACATACGACCACAGGCAAGATATTTCTGATCAGTAAAAATGAATAGATAGACATAAAATGTATGTAAGTGTCGGCGATCATAGCCGAGGGTGGAACGTTCTTCTAATTATACTAACAACAATATAAAAGTCTGAAAAACGGGACATTCCACATTCTAATTCCCCCCACCCCCTACCCCCCATGGATGGGTATATTCCAACATTGTAGTTTTTTGTTGTCAGCACCTTTGAAGTTTGCATCCGAGAGGCTCAAAATTTTGTCGGCCCCTTTCAAAATATTTTCCAACAGGCCCTGTGCCAGAGGTTGCCTTCCATAGGGGGGCTGCGGATAAAAATGGAATGTTTCAATAGAGACCTGTCTGAAAGCCAGATCCAGTTATGTTTGAGACTGTACTGGCAGACTTGATCAGGTCTGGTCACATTTAATGAACAGTCATTATTGTTGCTTTTCACAGGATGTTTGCTCCAGCCCGGAATTCTTCTACCAGTCATCCAGTGCTGTGATTCCCGTCTTCATAGGTACATGTTTTAACATATCAACAATAATAAATACTTGCTATGTTAATATGCCTAATTTAAGAGGTGCATGGAATAAAGCCCTAAGTGACTTTTGGAACATTTTGAGGCAGCCAGGAGCCAAGTTATTGCCTCAAAAGAACTAGTAATTAGTACTAGTTAGTTCTTTGTATGCAATTATGGAGACAAGAGTAAATTGTATAAATTGCTACGAGGTATTTCAATGCTGGCTACCTCAACATTTTCCAGAAGTCACTTAGGGCTTTATTCGACGCACCCCTTCAATTTTTTGCTTTGGGTATCGTGATACTGTATGCAGTGTATGATTCACTAGTAAGATTGTAAATAATGTTGTTGTTGTTGTTTTTACTAGATGAAGAAAAGCACAGTTCCTTCAAGAATGAAAGTAATAGGTATAAAAAGTCATGATTGCGCTATTTTCATGCACACATTTTACTTTTGTTCTGGTAACACAGTGTATTTATTTACGGCTTCACAGCTTTACACAGCACTTTGTTTTCCCAGCTTTCGACATGCATCGTTTTACAAGTACTCTTGTAAAGAAACACGAGGGAACAACACAGAGTCATGTGACGCTACAAATACTAATGTGGGGTACCCATAGGGTACCATTACAAGTCATTCATTTACAAGTCAGTCATGGGGTACTAGTACTATTACAAGTCTGTTCGGTTTCTTACTTAGTCTACCCATGCAGGTATAATGGGCTGTAACAACTTTGTTGCGTACATTTACATGTTCCTTTTCATATCATCGTGTTATCTATAGTCTGTTTGGTACAAGCTATACAGTCTCCAGTACTGGAAATAAGAGTCAGTCATCAGACTTTGTCTGAACAAATTTGTACATGTAAAATTGTTCTGAAATGAGCACCAATATGTTACGACCAAGCACCCAAATGACGTAGTTTAACTTTATAGTCGCTAAGATCTTGTGTGAAGGCCATGCTTGCTTTGAAACATGTTAAAAATCCCAAATCTTAGTGATCTGGGGTTTGTTTTGCTTTGATGTTCTCTCCAGACTTGCTATGCACAGAACTTGAAACAAACAAAAGCTCTGAATATTGCTCACAGTGTACGGCTAAGCTGTCGATTATACACGCTGTACTTATCGCTTCAGGTGCCTAAGGATTGAATCAAAATTTTGAGAGGACAGTCATGTCCTGCTACGTCATAAAAATTATTTTCCTCTCTGCTGGTCTCCTTCGTCAGGCAACAGCTCTACAGTTTACATGTATATATGCATTTTTACCACAAAATTACTTGTGATGTTAATGCATGTTTAGACTATACCTTGTTTTGTTTTCTTATTACTAAGGTGTGAACTGAATGAAGAGCCAGACAAAAGCTCCAATAGTAAGGTAAGTGTAAATTAAATGGCTAATTGTCAATGAAGATCAGTATATCAGCTACATGAAGGAAGATCTTTGTAAAAATGTTCAGCAGACATCATTTTTGTGTAAATTATAATGTACATTTACTATTACCTACCAACTTCACTTATTACAATGTGTACAAATGAATGTTACATGATTACTGATTGTGAACATATTTTATTAGTGACTCATCTTGATAAAAAGAAAATGCTCATTCCAACACGTTTTTGAAAATTTGAATTACCGTAGTCATTGTGAAAACAGAGACCAAAGGTATGCTGAACTGTAAAGATTCTTCCAAAACAAGTCAAGTCAAGTCAAGACTCTTCAGCTTTTTTCTACATAATACAGAAATTGAATTGCAATACTCAAAAATTATCCATAACTGTAAATTACTCTCCCCAAGCAAGATTTTGTGGTTTTACCCTCTCTACCCCAATTCAAGGTGGTTTTCTTTGGATTGGACCCCCTACTCCATCCCCCAGCAATACCAGTTCATCACCAATGATGTTCCATATATGTATTGTGAGAATGATTCATATTATCTGGAACCACACATTGAATGTCGACTCTGCTGATTTATCTAACCAGCTTACATCTGGTAATTTCCTAATACCTACATGTATATTGTTTTAGTACATGTATTTGTTGATTCATTCAATGAGAAAAGCAGAGAAGGTAAATGAACCCTCCACAAGTGGACACCTTTGTAGCCAGAAAGAGTGTCTCCTTAAGAGAGGTGTCTGCTTATGGTAGGTTTACCTGTAAATGCAGTGTTTGTATGTGGCTGGGACCAATTTACTTAGTGTCCCCTTAAAGGGGGTGTCCACCTAGGGGAGGTAGACAGCAGGCAACCAGTCACTTTGATGTAAAGCCATTTCATTACAAGTCCTTTCAACATAAATTGAATTTGATTTGACTCACATCTAAAGTCAATTCAATATAAGCTTTATGTACCCGAAGTTAATTTTGCTTGAAAACTCCTGAAGTTCATATTGAATCAACATTGGGGATGTGTATCAAAACAACTTGTATGGAAACAACTTTGTATGGAAACATATAAAACCTACTTCCAGAGTTTTGACTGTATTTGAACACTGAAGGTGTTGTCAGTATGAAAAAAAAAAAAAAAACTTTTGAACTGTCGCAGGCTAACCCAGTGTGTTGTAGTAATGGCAAATCACTAGAGGAAAGACTAGCAAGCAGCAAACAGAATATTCTCAGCAAGAACCAAGATACACACAGTGGTTTTATGGATAATAGAAGGTGCGTGGAAAAATGCTCCTGTGGAATTTTTTTTAGGTTTACCTTTACTGTAACATCACAAAAATACATTGTAGGCTTACAAAAAGTTAACCCAAAAATAGCTTTAAGGTAGGTTTATTTACAAAGAGATCTTGTTTTTTGAGAATATTAATTGCATACATGTACTAGTAAAATTCCTTGAATTAACATGCGTTTAGTAACTAGTAATTACTGTCGCATGGTAAAATGAACCATTACGCTATGTGCAGCAATACTGTCCTCGATACTGTGCATGTAATGTGCGGACATCCAGAGATTCAGACATCCATGGAACTTCACAATATTTCATGTCTATATAATTTGATCTCAAGTGGTACTATTTTATTACGAATTAAATCAATTCCATGACCGTGTAATTGTAAAAATATTTATGCATCTACAGATCAATAATGGCCTGGGAGGTGATACCAGCCTCTCACAGACGACTTAAGCTTCATCTTGTGCCACAAGAGAAAATTAAGACCTGGATCATCCAGAATTTGCCTCAAGTTGAATATCTGAGGTAAACTGAAGCCATTCAACTAATTAGTTATTGTGCTTTAGTTTAGAGATTTTTGTGACACTGTAGAGTTGTAGCCATAAAGTCTTATTACATTTGATTTATGGACAGAAAATATCAAAGCAATCTTTACAGATTATCATTATGCACATTGTAATGTTTTCTATAAAGAATGTTTTGCCACATGATCTAAACGTTTTTTTTTTTTTTTTCTGGAATAAATAATTTGATGATTATGTGATGGGATACGTGTACTCTGCACGAACTGTAGTGTACATACATTGTACTCTTCCACTTTTTTGTGTAAAAAAAATCAGTCTTCATATTTCATTAACTGGTAAAATTGTGCCTGTTGGCAATAACATTTACATGTATAAATTACACCAGTTCATCTGGTGTGATCGTCTGGGTGAGGATAGTTCTGAAAGGAACTGTTACTGGTAACTGACATTTTGACAACCTGAGCAGAAGTCACCTTCAGAGACCAGGTTGGTTTTCAAAACATCAATCACCTTCAGAACAGAACTATCCTCACTTAGATGATCACAGAAGATGAGCTACTGATACTCCTGGGCAACTGCGTTTCCAGGGTCTCTCGTCTATCCGCTCTCCCGGAGCGCCCGCTCTTCTCTCGCTCCAGGAGGGCGACAAGTTGAGAGACCCTGGGAATGAGGTTGACTCCTGGGTCCAACCCATTTACTATTATAAAAGTCACTGTTATAAATTATTTTGTTTATCGCAGCTCTCTAGAGGGTGCTAGCAATCGTCTGGTGAATTTTGTGTTATCCTGTCTTCAAGAGGAGAAGGTTGCTCATCCAAGTGGTATGGAAGAGATGCTTAAGGATCTTCTTGGAAATGGTGAGAAGCTGGAACTTTCTCTATACAAGCTCCGTCAACACTACGGCGGAGAAATTTGAAAACGGCTTTTTCATTCTTAAAACGCATCAAATGTTAAATCTGTCCACATTAAGTCGGAGAAATTTGATAATGCGACGATCACCGGTCATTTTGGATTTGTGTTTGAAGAAAACTCGGTCAGGGAAATCACTTGATTATCGTAATGCCATCGTTCTCAAAAAGCCCTGTCTTCAAAATGTTTTCTGTCCACGCTAAAACGTAAAGCCGGCGTTTTCAGATTCCTCTGGTTTGAAGAGCGTTTTCGAAAAGCTCCGTTTTCGAGACGGATTTTCGTGGGCGGTAGGTAACCGTAGAAATAAAGCTGCGTTTTCAAATTTCCCCGGCGTTAAGTCTGGACAGGGTCGTAGTGTAATTCAGCCAAAATGCAAATTTGTTTCTCAGAGTTTTTCTCAATCTCAGTTAAGATTTTGTTCCTTTGAAGGTGATTTTTCTGCTTTCAAACAGAGCTTGTATGGTTACCTACATGTAAACTAACTTAGTACATGTACATTTGGAGAGTTTTCCCCACTGGGGCTCGACATGGTTGATTAGATTCTAACCAACGTTTCTCTTCAGAGAGAGTAGGGCGCTATCAAAATTTTAGCACACCGTGTAGTTCGTTCACAGAAAAAATTTCCAGTCGCTGAAATTTCTTGGGACATTCCTTTCTTTGTTGTTTTCTTAAAGTTCACTTTAGTCTGTTCGGATCGTACATGTAATTTAGTCTTGCAGTAACACGTACATTCAAGCATTTTAGAACAAAAAAATGCTAGTAGACACTCCACCATGAATCGAACCTACATCTGTGCATTCTATGACTTTCCACACAC